GTAGAGACTGCAGCTTCAATTAAATGCTGTGATGTTTATTGGACTCGCATTCACACAGGGGGCTGTCCAAAATGTTCATCTTGTGAAGTATTGTTCTGAAGCATATATATCCAGATCTCAGTCTGTTCAGCTTGACCCATGCTCCTCTGCCAAGGTTGTGCCCAATGGGGGACTCATTTAGTGTTGGTATAAAACACTGTAGAAATAGGTCTGACCTTTTCTAATGGTTGGCCCACTGTTGCTGCCCACAAGTTTAGTTCAGCACCCCCAGAACAGCTGTACAGCCTGGATAGCTCCAGCATATGCTCATGCAGAGATGGCCAAGGACCAGGGCAAGGAGATGCACCTTCTAGGTAAGGAGGAGGTGGAGCACTGAAGTAACCACTCACATGCCCATTTGAGAATCCCATCTTGCAGTGGTATTTTGCACAGGGAGCAGAGAGTTGTGAGGTAGGACTCCACCAGTCTGCCACAACCCACTAGGACTGCAATGTGCAGAGCAGGGGTTTGCAAAGCTGGAAAAAAATAGCATTTGATGTCAACAGCTCATTAATCTATGCTTTGTCTACATCAGGGGAGACTCCCAAAAAAGCCCCATGCAAAAATGGCTCATTGCCACAGTCTTGCCAGAAGGATAGGGAACAGTAGAAGACAAAATCCCTGCCTTGGGGCAACCACAGGAACAGGCTAATGGAGGTGCTCTCAGGGAGAGGTTCACACCTAGCGACTGGCTAAGCCAGGGCCTGATTCCAGGGATACGTAACCATGGAGAGAACAGTGAAGGAGAACCCATATCCCCCACAATCATGCTACCCCAGGCCAGCATCTCAATGTGAAGAGACAAAGCACAGCGATCAACAAGGCTTTGTGGAAACCTTGGCCCTGGGCAATCCAGGAGGAGCAGTGTGAAAGCCACACAGAGAAGATTTTGGGGAAGGAGATGAAGAACTCCATGCTTCTCAGGGTGTATAAATGCCTTAGTGTTCTTAGTGACTTGGTGGGGTGCATACAGAGGGTCAGCAATGGAAAGAGAGGCTCTGCTGCATACTTTGTCTTACAGGGCAAATATATACTCACCTGCTATAACTTGGTAAGTCTCATTGCTGGCCCAGGTATAGAGAGGAAGGACTGGCCATCAATAACCAGTTGCTCTGTTTGGGTGACTTTCTCTTATGAAGATGAACACACCCCAGAGAACAGCTGGCTAGAGGTGGCACCTTTGTTTGAAATATAGGGTCCTGGATTTGCTGTCCTAACACTGAAAAGAGAAGCAGACAGGCATGATACTAGCAGGTTTCCTGCACTTAACTTACTTGATGCCACTTACAGTTCAAGTCTATTTTTGGCTATGTAGATGGGCAAGAAAAATCAGTTGACAGCTGTACTGTGGTTTGTGTGTGACCAGGTATGTCATGATCATGTGCAGCATGACAAAATGTGCAATGATGACAGTATTGGCTCTAGGTTCTGGGAGTGCACCCACATGTTCACCCAGTGAAGTTCTAATCTCCACAAGGTAGTCAACAACCCCAATGTTGTCACTTAAAACACCTGCTTCTTCTGGGCGTTGAGGGAGTGTCTTCTGGCCCCCCACTGTTTGATGTGGCTGGCCAGCTGGTGTCCACACATGCTGTAGGGTATAAATATGTGAACAAGAAGCAACTCCTGTAACGTTGTGGAGTTTGGCTATTCCCTCGTGGCCATACCTGAAGCAATGAAAGAGAAGCAGAAAGCCTGGCCTGAGAGTCTGAGATCATCATCCAGAGTTTGCCCAAAGAAGCATGAGCATTTCACCAGTGCTTACCTGAATGATGTGCAAATGGAGAGTGTGGAATAAAAAAAATCTTTATGAGCTGCCCCAGCCCCCTCAGGGTACCTCCCCTTCACACTGTCCCCACATTCTCCAGAGACACTTTCTTGGGACTTTTCTCTCCAGCTACAGGCCCTGTGGTATCCCACTGTGTCCAGTTTCTGCCTCTTGAAATACCTCCCAAACACCCTGGGCATAATTTTATCTTTAAAGGGTTTGTAATGAAGGGTGGTGAGTGTGAGAGGTGAATGCCTGAAGCATGGGGCTCTTGTACAGGAATGACCCAGGCTGTTTTGTATTGGCAGTGCTCTTCAACGGGTGCCAGGAGTTTGAAGACCGTTATTGTACTCTTTCATAAAATAGGTGATTTTGATGACCCAAGCAACTAGATGCCCATCACCCTTTCCTCAACCATCTGAAAATATCAGTTTCACTGCAGCCCAGATCACAGACTGGGCTGTGAAGGAGGGAGGGCACCAATTTGAACCAAAAACTAGGGCTGCTATGAACACAACTCTTCAACCTCACACTGGCTGAAGAGCAACATCAGCACAAGACAGCCTGTGTTTTTCCTTTGCAAGAGCCTCACACTCGAGGTACTGACTCTCTCATTCCCCTGCACTGAAAATGTACTACCTGTGTTAACCAGGCAGATAGAGAAGTGGTTTTGAAAAGTTCCTACCTTCCTTAAACTGAAAATGAATCGCATGCAGTTTAACTGTTGTGACTGTGATAGTTTGCTGAGTTCATGTATTCACTTGGATTGGGAAGCTGCAGTATTTTAAGGCACAAGTAACCCTGTGGTGCCCTGGCTGGTGCATTAGCTTCCTAGCAATTACCAGGCATTCAAAAGTTGTGGATTCAAGTCCCATCAGAGCTAAGCAATTTGAAATACTACTACCATACCCAGAAAGGGACTATCCGCATTCACACAAGACAGGCCCAGGGAGCTGTTAAATGGCGTGCCACAGACCTCCCCTCCTCTTCCCTCCACCAGGGGCAGACTCACTGTGCAGCTGCCTGCATAAATCAGAGTCGCTGCTGCATTTTGGCCTGGTTGGGACAGGGGCAGCTGGGGCCCCCTCCAGCAGGGCTGGTGGGAACAGGGGGATGTGTGTCAGGAGGAGCACTGGCAGAGCTGGGGAGGCTGTGGCTTGTGGGGGACGGAAGACTGAGTCAGGAGTGCAGGGCATTGTCTGCACTAGGGGGATGTGGGGAGTGTGGGGCACCAGCAGGGATGAGGGGGAGCTGTGGGTGAGGAGGAAGGGGCACCAGCGTGGCCCAGAGGTCAGGGTACTGTTGGAAGTGAAGGGCATTGGCAGGGCCAGGGGTCTGCAGGTCAGGAGTGAGGGGCAGCAGCAGGGACAGGGGGCTAAGGATTGGGAGTGAGGGGTACCAGCATAGCCAAGGGATGGGGGACTGTGGGTTGGGAGCAAGAGGCACTGGTAGGGCGGGGGGAGGGTGGTGCTGTGGCTTATAGTTTTGTTTTACATTTAATTTCTGAGGCCATAACACTTGCTAGTTACTGTAACAGTTAGAAAGTGTCCCCCCCTCTCCACAATCATACACAGTTGTTCTCTTTTTTGGAACTGGAAATATTGTAACCCTACCTTTCCTTTCTAAACAGCCTGGGCATTTCATTATGCCACAGAACAACACAGTGTTGAACCCTGTTTGTTCTCACTGGGAGCTCCTTGGGAGATGGTCTGGCACCCACCACGTACCTATAAAGACCTCCAGAGACGGGCGAGGCACACAGATCCTGTGCAGCGCCAACAATGAGAACACGAGGAGCATAATGAACGTTCTGGCCCATTTTGCAGGAAATCAGACCTAATTCCTATCCGTGTCCCTTTTGCCTTCAAAACTGATGGATACTTCCATTTTCTAGCCATTTTTTTTCAGATGTGGCTGTCACTCTCCTCAACAGGAACTATTGGCATGAAGGGGGCAGGCCTGCAGGCTTTTTGCTGAAGGTAAAGTCCAGCCACCATCTGTCCAGTGAAGGAAAAGACCCACTTCCCTCCACATATCATAAACACTATAAAGCCTTTTCCTTAACCTTTCTCCAGTCACTCCTCCTTGAGCAGAGTCAAAGCTTGAGGAAGCCTGGAAACCTTTTGGGGACTATGAGTGAGCACAGCAGGCTGCTAGGCAGCAACCTTGACCATAGAAAGCTTGGACATTAGTCCAAAAGAGGACAACTGTATATGATTGCGGAGAGGGGAGGCACTTTGTAACTGTTACAGTAAATAATTGTTATTGCCTCAGAAATTAAATGTAAAACAAAACTAAAAGCCACAGCACCCTCCCCCCCACCCTGCCAGTGCCCCTTGCTCCCAACCCACAGCCATGCTAAGCTAAACTGACTTCTTTGCTGTGTTTGCAGACAGGCTGGCCGTGCTGCCGGCCGTAGCATAAGGGAAGTCTCTCGTCAGCTCCCTGACGTCCAAGTCATCGCTGTGCTTCTTCCATGGCCTGTGCGAGGGATCCACGACCCTTGTGATCCCGGGTCCCCCGGTCGTGCCAACTCCTGCCCCCAAAGTCACACAACTAGCTTGTCCGACTTCAACTCCAACCCCGACTCATCACCTAGCATCACGCTGAACCACATCGGAGCACCTGCCTCCCCTGCCAACACCCCCATGCAGCTGGGGGCCGCCCTTGGCCTGCAGCGGCCGCCACGTCTTGCACGAGGAGCAACTGCGGCTCCGGGCAGGAAAGCGCCCCCTCGCCCCTGGGGACCCGCACGAGGAGAGAAGCTGCACATGGCGCCTCCAGGCTGCTCCGAGCAGGGGCCCTGCAGGAAATGCAGGCTCCCTCCCCGGTTGCTTTTGGGGCTGGGGAGCGCAGGGCGGTGACGGCTGTGCGCGCTCGCAGAGGACAATGCTTCCAGCTGTTCAGTGAAGCGGTCACATCCACGCCGAGGCCCAGCCGGCTTGTAGCACGCACATCCCGCCCGCTATCCCCGGCCCCCAGAGGCACGTCAACCCCAGCCCCCGCGTCCCCATGGCAACATGCCCCGCCCCACTCCCGGCTCGCCCTCCACGCCCCTGGAGTCCCACCCCCTGCCCGTGCCCGCTCCCGCTCCCTCCCAGCCCCGCCCCCGCGCGTCTCCGGGGTTGTCAGGCCGGGCCTCCCGA